AAAACTTCTGAATGCTACTCCTCTTTTCTCCAACACAGAGGAGGAGGGGTCTTCTGAATGCTACTCCTCTTTTCTCCAACACAGAGGAGGAAGGGTTGTGTAGATTCAACTCGCTCAAAAAATGTCTTGATGCTCGTCCCCACCTAAGAGCATATGATGAGAGATTTTAAACAATGTTTTGTATAACAGCTGACAGATCTTTCATGTTCAAATTCACAAATAAAATTCTCATCCTCAGAGGTGTGACATATGAGAAACGTACACAAACAAATAACATTTTTTAAAATGTATTGTTGAGATCTACATTAACCAAAATTAACAAATGCAGTGCAAGTATTATTCAGTGTATTTACATTACATCAGTAACAAATGAAATCTTATTGTAATGTGTTAATGAAAGCTTTGTTTCACCCTTGAATTGTAGAAAAAGATGTAAGAAGATTTTAATGTGAGATGTGAAGAGATGAAGTTTTCTGCCCAGTCCTATATTTTTGAACCTGTATATGATGACTACGCAGATACACCTACAGATTACACCAACTGCGGACAAGACTAAATGAGTAAATCTAACAACAACTTTATTTTACCTTTATGAACTTTACAACATGATCAGCCGCTTCAGTTGCACTGCTTTTCCCAGTCTTCCTTCCTTTTACAGTTGGAGGCAAGAGAATAGCTGCCACATCACTGTCCCATCCTAGCAGAATAGAGTATACAGTTAAACCTTAAACCAGTTTAAAAAACAAAACAAAAAACATTTATACTTACCATAATCAGACTCCTCCAGAGCAGACAGAAGGACATGTGCACCAGGGTGCAGGTTTTTGCAGTCAGCAGTTATTCTTGGCTTGTAGAATTTTGGCCATTTTGCAATAAACTTGCTTGAGATGTCATCTCCAAAAGGCATAGTAAAGTCTTGGTCAATCTATCACACAGAGAAATCATGTAAATAACAAACATTACAATTACATATACAATTAACATCAACATTTTAATATTTCTTACCAAGCCTGGTGTATCCAAAAATCGGGGAAAGTAATCAAGGATGAGTGAAGATTTGTCTGGATCATGTATCAAATTCTGCCTGTAGGGGAGAGTGGGGTAAGATGAGCCAATTTTAACATGTGTTGCCTTCTCTGCATGAAAAAATGAGACAGAAGTCAAACAAAAACAAAGGGTTTTGAAAATTGGCTTCTCAAAAAAAAAGTGCTCTTGTGGCTCAACTTGCCCCAGCGGAGGGGTAAGTTGATCAGTGTGAATGGGTAAACTGAGCCATGTGGGGGTAAACTGACCCGCTGACTTTTTTTAGTTTAAATCTGAACATAGTTTAAAAATTCACACTTTTCTTAAAAGTAATTTTAAACGTAACTTAGCACAACATAACTTTTAATGTAAACAACATCAAAACAACCAAATCTGTTCTGCATTTCAACAACTATTCAACATTCCACCCATCAAGGTTGCAGGGAAATATGAAGTGTTGCTCCCTTCTTGCAGTTCCCCCAGCCTTTTGAGGTTGAGGTAGCTTCTTCAGCACATCACTTTGTGGGAAAAAAAGCCACATAATCTGTCACATGATTCTCATTGACAGTGCTCCCGCGGATTCTTCTGAGAAATCTTGCACTCACTTCGTCGTCCTCTAGTTTCTCAACCACGCCAATGTAATGATAGCTATAATATCACTATAATGAAGTCACCAACAAACAGATCTGAGATGTCGCTACTATCATCCTCAGAGCTCTCATACTCAGAAATGTCATCAAGTGGGATGGGAACATCACTCTCATCAGAGCTGCTGTACACTGTGATTTTCTTCTTAGTTTGTTTTTTCTTGAGCTTTCCTTTATCTTTGATGTTGCTTTGCTTTTTTCCCTGCTTTTTCTTTCTTCATGAGCCAATTCAATTGCTTGCTTTTCAGGTGTATCAGTTAGGATTCTTGACTTCACGCTTTCTCTTCGTTTGTGTCCTGGGCATACTTTTGGGTAGGGGTAGAATTTCTTCTGCAGACACGTATGAAGTGTGGCTGGGATCCAAATCTGTTTCACTTGGTGAAGCACATCCATGTGTGAGGCATGGTGAAAGCAGCTCAGCAGTGATGCTGGTTGAAGCAATTGGTAGATCATCTGCAGCAGCAGACTGAAGCTCAGGGGCTGGCCTGTCTGTTACCATGGATGGCTCAAACTCCTGATCAGAGAAAATATCTCTGTTGTAAGGGGAAATCCCTGAGGACCTGAATCCAGAAGTTATATTCCGTGGTGTCATCGCTGACATGAAAGCCTCATTCACACATCCAGGGATCTGGTATATGGTGGCTGTTTTGCCTGGGTTAGATCTCATCCAACCATCAAGAGCTTTGTTGTAATAGGTCTTAAATGGACCATAAATGCTCTTGTCCAGAGGCTGTAAGCGATGGGACGTGTGGGGTGGAATGGTGAGCAGAACAATACCCTTTTTCTTTGCTATATCCACTGCCCTCAGTGAAATGTGGGCCTCATGGTTATCAAGGATTAGCAACATGGGATGGTCAGAGGAGCAGTTGGTGTGCTGAACTATGTTCAAGGAACTCAGCAAAGGTGTCTTCATTTATCCAGCCAGATCTGGGGGATGTACCAATTGATCCTTGAGGTGCTCCTGTGATGAAATGTTCTTTATATATATGGGAAGACAAACAGGAGGGACTGCATACCCAGTAGCATTGACGGCACAGACCACAGTCACAAGCTCTCCTCTTTCAGCAGATGTGATGGCACCCACTTGTTTTTTTCCTTTCTCTGCCACTACCTGCTTTGGTGTCTGCACTGTTGTGACACCCGTTTCATCAACATTGTAAATCATGTTTGGAGGGAATTTATGCCTATAAAACAAAGTCAGAACATGAAAGAGCCAAACTGGAATCAGAGTGCCTGAACCTTGCAGTTAATGCATGAAGCAACTAAACAGCCCTCACTTGATATCCTTGTAAATACAGCTAGTAGAAAAACACATGTGCTAGTCTTTGTATATGTACTTATCTGTTGTGTTCAGTTATTGTTATAAATGTAATCTAATGTGTTCTCTGACCTGTCCATCACTTTTGCCAGATTGTTAAAGAACTCCTCCACTGTAGTTTTATTGAAGGCTGAAGCCCTTCCCACAGATGTTGCTTCAGGTATACGGCAGGAGAGATGGTGACATGCTTTGAAATTATTGAACCAATCTCGACCTAAAAATAAATAATTATATCAAGATGCTATGTTTAGCTACACAAGATCTGTTAAACTTAGTTGAGCTACTGAATTATGTGATGTCTTGCACATCCTACCGGCTAAACCCTTCTCTTTCCAGTTGTTGGGGACAGGAATGTTGTTTCTGTCTGCCAATTCAAATGCCAATTCACAACATTTTTGGGGGGTAAGGCCATGGAACTGGTCAGCCAGCTTCTTGATGTGGTCTGCAAGCTCCTTCTCTAGCTCCTCTGTAAAGACCCTCTTTGCCTTTGCTGTTCCTCTGTAACCAGTGGTTTTCACTTCCTTTCCTTCCTTCTTTTTATATACAGTGCACAGCATAAATGAGTACACCCCCTCTAAAACTTAACAAATTCAGCAATTACTCTTTACTTACAAGACATGTTAGGTTCTTTGGAGATGTAATGTTCCAACAAGCCTGCTTGATCAATTACCATAGAAGAATGTTCAAATGATTCAGCAAAATAAGATTTTCTTATCCACATTTTCTGGCGATATGAATTTGGCCCCAAGCTGCAGGGTGAAGGAGGCTATGGTTATGTGCATGCAGGAAGGCCTCAAGGTTTAATTTTTTTACTTACTCCTTTTTCACTTACAAACTTTCCATACCTGTTCAGTATTCATGACTGGAATGATCTCGTGCACATGCTTATCGTTAATTCTTTTGTTTTGTTTGGAATGATCTCTGTGCACATGCTTATCGTTAATTCTTTGTTTTGTTGATCAGGTGGCTGTGAAAATTGCTGACAAGACACCAGATATGCCATATATTGTAGGTTGTAAGTAGCCTGCGCTTTCTATATTATTGCATCTCATTCACTGTTTTCAGTTTCTTCTCATCTTATATTCATGTTAATCTGAGAAAGCACCTCTATCTAAGCATCATATGTTCTTTCTTTTAGCCTGGTCATCCCAAACACCTCCCCACAGAGATCAACCTGACACTCATGGCCAATAAGGGCCCCAGCCTTCAGCAGATAATTAAACTCCTGAACTGTTAGGACGACCCGGACTACTACGTCATGGTCTTGAAGCAGCCCATGCTCCGATGAAAGCTCGATGAGAAGATGGCACGACATGTTATGTGGCAGGTCATTCATGCCACTAACATTTGCTGTGAGCGTGGAGTCTCCCATCATGATATAAAACTGGAGAACCTCCTGGTGAACACGGACACGTTGGAGGTCGAGTTGATCGACTTCGGATGCGGCTTGCTCATGAAGGACTCTGCCTACGTGGCCTTCAATGGTATGTTTGTTGATTTGCTAGCGGGTTATTTAGCTCACACATCTGCTGTAGAAATGCATTAAATATCAAAATCTCTTCTCTTTAGGCACAGAAATGTTCTGCCCACCGGAGCTCGATGTCACTGGCAGGTACCATGCGAAGCCGGTGACAGTTTGTTCATTAGAGATCCTGCTGTTCGTGATGGTATTATCCAGACGACAAAGACCTGCACAGGATCAGTAAGAAGGACTGGTCCGAACCTGACCTGCCACAAGGTGAGATCTCCATCAAAGAACAAAGATGGACAGTTTGAACTCTAAATATGAAAGTTTACAATTGAAATGTAAATATGTAACATATAAGTTAATAATTATATATATCTCTCATCTTTTTGAACAGAATGCTGCCAGATGATCTGTGATTGTCTGCAGCCTGATCCGCAGCGGAGACTTGTCCTGGAGGAGATGCAGCTCCATGACTGGTTTATGGTACTAAGATTAGAGCCCAAGATTTGCTAAATGCACGTTCATAAAATCAGTCAAATTTGCTCTAAATGTAGTGTATTTAGATAAATAACAGTGATTTATGTTTTTGTTCCAGGTCGTGGAGTAAGACATGGAGAGCAAGAAAAAAAAACTCCCTGTCATAGCCACTGTTTTCTTTTGTATTTTTGTTTGTCTTCGGTCAGCTTTGCGTCTGGCGGCTGACGTGAGCGGCCTTTCCATCTCTCCGCTTTGGCCTTGGCCTCTTGTTTCCTGGCAGCACATGGTACCTTGAAGTGTCATTATTTATAATTTTAGATATTTATATTAAGATATTTGTGTTTGTGATAGTTATAAGGAATTGTATAAGAACAAATGTGTGAATTTTTCAAGTATGATAATAGTTATGAATACAGTATATATTGTTAATATAATGTTTTAAGAGAATTTAAGATATTTGTATTAAGATATTTATGCTGTGTGTTATATTAGAAGAGTGACTGTAATTTGGACTGCTGTAACCAATCTCTCTCTGTGTGTGTGTGTGTGTGTGTGTATATATCAACAAAAAGTAGTCTCCCATTCACCACTATACAATCATCTTTGACACTAAATTTTAGTGTAGAGTGTACACAAATATTCAGAAATGTCAAAATGACAAAAAAAACTATGTTCACCACACAAAACCACATCCCATGTTAGCTTGACATAATTTTTGATTTAACTGTAGTTAGTACTAAATATAAGATTCATAAAGCACATTTGGCCAGTACTTAGCGTGCCAGTTCTTGTCATATCTTTTGCCAATTAAAGAAACCAAAAAGGCAAGGCTTTAATCAATGA